ATAAGCTCCCCAGTGAGACAGTATGGCGTTCCACTAATGCAGACTGAACGCCTACTGTCTCCTGGGACCCCACAGCTCTCCTACACGCCTGCTGGACTACACATCTCGGGATCGATTCCTCCTGGACCCCTGCACCTTAACTGACTCCACTCAAACTGCAAGTACTTGTGCCCATTGCCCTGCATCTTAACCTTAGTGAGTGTATAACTAAGTGCCGTGGAGTAGCTCTTGTGCTCCATCTAGTGGACTGTTGGGAGATCACATCATTGACTCTAAATAAGGCTGTTACACTCCTGAATTTCAGTTATCATTCCTAACCATTACAAATTGAGGGTATTGTACCAAGAAAGGGAATATGCTGTAATATCCCCTCTTCCTTTTTTGTTTCTTTTGGCTGTGATGCTTGAACCCTAACTCCCTGTTAAGATTGGGAGTGAAACCAGGGTTCCGTCTGAGTAGCCTCCGCAGTTGTGATCCACAAACGCCTAAACTACCCCAGGTGTTACATAGAGCCTATGCCAGACACAGCAGAGGCCCTGGGTTCAGATTTGGATCCTAACACTAACTTCCCATATTTGTGTCTTGTGTGTTTGGTCGGAATTGTCCTTTAACCACTTTTGTACCTTGGACATGTTTGTATGCCCAATAAAACTTCACCGAAGTACAGAGGGATTATGTAGTATGAACTGTTCATCTTCCCCTGCTGCCACTCCCCTGACATCAAAATGACAGCCGGGATTTGCTGAGTAATTACAGCAGCCTGTCCACTGCTGTCCACAAAGACCTTGTGAACAGTGTTTATAAATACTGTTCATGAGTGTGATTCAGAGATACAGTTTGTTTGTTTTTTAATAAAATCTGCTTCTGTTGAACTCCTTCTTATAGTTGCCCTAATCAACCCTACTTGATGCATTCCCTCCCTTCTGCCCTTAGCTATTAGTTTTATGCAAATAAAAAATAGAAATATCTATTGTAATAAATTATTAAAATTTCATTTTATTAGTTAATTTTATGCCCCAAAAGATACCCAAAATTGAAAAATCCACTTCTATTTAATTTGTAAATAATTGTGCGAAACTTTCTGCTAGAAATTTACTGGGAACAAATTTTAGACTAAAACTTATACTTTTTATCTACAATAACACTAATTATTTCAAAACTACCGTTAGTCATAATGGATTCGTGTGCATTTTTTACGTTTTTTTTTAAGGCATAGTTTGTGTAGAAAATAAAATCATTTTTGCAAGTCAAAATCACCAACATAAAAACTTGTTTGTCCTGAAAAACATAATATACTGTATGTATTACCTTGTTATCTTAAGTAATGACACTGAATAAACAGGCCAAAGTTGCTCTGGTACATAAGAGGTGTAGCGGTCCAAGAGCTGAAATGGCTCAGAGTATTTTAAGTATTAATATTTTTTTTTATTTTATCCTCTAGGCGCCGATAGCAAAATAATGAGAAACAGTGGAAAGACTACCTTCAAAAGGACTAAAATTGATCTTATGGTGAACAACATGGTGTATATGGTAAATATTGGCCTTTAAAATAAGCAGAGCCAGATGTATGCTTTTTCTACCAACCCCCCTCCCCCCGCAACACACAGAAGAACATATGCACTGTACAACATGAAGCAATCATGCAAACAAATATGCACGATATACACATTTCTTTAATAGTATTCAGGGGAAGGTGGACACAGGCAGCTCCATTCTGCTTGGCAGCAGTGGCACCAAGATGGGTGTCTGTGGTGTGGCGTTATCACACATGCACAGTGATGTACTTCACTGCCGGTGGTCATCTTGGTGATGGATGCTGGCGAGGAGAGGAGGGGATATTGACCCGTCGGGATCAGGTATGCTGCCAAGTCTCCCTTTCCCTTGTGCTGCTGCCGGGCTCTCAGTCTATGAACGAGTGCCTGACTTTTAAGACTTGCGATGCCACTGCTGCTAGGAACCATAGTGGACGTCTCACACAGCTCAATGATCAAAATTGCAGCAGTCTTGATCAAGAGACTTCCAGGTATCAGAGGGAGAGGAGTGTCAGCTCCACACGGTGGAGTTCTTGTTTATGGCACACTAAAAAGCATATGTAATGGACCAGTTTCAGTGACTCAGGTTTAATTTACCTGTGCCCCATCAAGACAATTGGTGCAATGCAGTTTGGCTACATCCACCATTTGGCAGGGTGCCGCTTTGTTGTGGAAAATTACTTTGATATAGGTGGAGGTTGTTAAAAAAATTTGTATTGGCCCTGGTTGCCAGATACGCTTTGTATGCCACTGCAGGGGGCACTAAGGGAATGTGTTTGAAACCTGTACAACTATGATTAAATTCCCCATTTTTATTTAGTATGTTTGCTGTAGCATGAGTAATTCTTTCTTTTTTTTTTGTACACAAGTACAGAGTAGATTCGGATTAGGGTCAGCTACATTGCTGGTGGCACAAATATGACTTGCTACAATCGGATCATCAATGCTTCTGCATTGGATAATAATGAGGACATTCAACAGTCAGAGGAGCTCAATTTTTCTCAGGTTGTTTTTCCAATTGTTAAATCTCCAAGTGGACCAGATACCTCGAGATCTAACCACAAATTGTTAGCTCTCCGAGTGGACCAGCATAGAAAAGCAAAAGTAACTTGTATAGAAAAGAATGAAGGATCCCATTATTGCCCCTGTCCCACTGTCAGTGCTGGGTGAAGATTCAGTCTGAAAGGACCAAGATCTCATCTTTAAAACCTGTCCTTCTGTCCTCCAGATATTTGGGATGTTGATCCTGGCGGCAGCTGGTCTTGCCATTGGGAAGTCAGTTTGGGAAAGTGATATAAACACCGGAAATACATCTTGGTACCTTTATGATGGAAAAGATTATCCCGCATCATACCGAGGATTCTTAGGCTTTTGGGGATATATCATTGTTCTGAACACCATGGTACCAATATCACTCTATGTAAGGTAATATATGTCTACTGTACTACTAAATAAAACATCAGTCACTTTCAATGTCATGTTCTTGGACAAAAACATCTGTCTTGACACATTCCGTGGAGATTGGAGTATATAGTTAGAGCACAGTGTCTGTGAAGGTTCTGAATTTATCCAGGTCATGGTATAGCTAGCAGTAGTTAGTCACTACTAGTGATGATCCTGGGCTTGGTGCAAACCTAGTTCACCCAAGTCCACTTAAAACTGTGATACACCCCCTTCCTGGCCCAATCAATAGTGGCGGTTGTGGCAGGGGCATTCCCTGCCCTTTTGTGATGTGTAGCTGCAGGGCAGGGAATGCACTTGGTGCAACTGACTGGGCCAGGAGGTGGGGGTGCACGCAGGGCCGGCGATAGTGCAAGGCAGCACAAGCGGCCGCCAGAGGGCGCTGTTGGGGCGGGGCGCAGAAATGGTATCACTGTCTCCGCATATTACTGTGCCCGTCCCGTTCTCCTTGCTGCAGACTCACAGACTGTCAGCGGTTTCTCCTTACAGGCTGTAATCAGCTGCAGCGATCTGTGTCAGAGGGGACAGATAGCCGATTACAGCCTGCAAGGAGAAACTTCTGTCAGTCTGTGAGTTTCCTTCCCACGTGCAGCCTACTCCCCCAAAAATGATGGCAGACGGTACGGATGACACGGCTATGCTGGTGGAGCCTGCAGGAGCAGGCCCACTACAATGGGAGTTTTTCCCCCAATATTTAGATTTTAAGCTAAGTTGCAGACAATCAGCTTATTATAGTGTTGAAATATACATGGGAACAGCATTGCCTGTCAACAGTTTGTAATTTTGTTTGGCCAAGTCCCATGAAGTCAGGGAGATTCCCTGTTTAATGTGCAAGGTGAGGTCACCTAAGATTTAAACCTGTACTGCTTCTGGGCTATTTTTGTTTTACCAGTTAGGAAGGATTGCTTCTCTATTCAGCCCTAAGAATGGCCGTACACTTCAATTTCAACTACTTTCCATCTAGCGGGAATAGGAAATATGATTGCAAGTAATGACCAGAAACTAAGCATTCTACCATCCAGAAGTCTGATTATTCTCCAGAACTGTGGAGTGAAAACTGGGCAATACATTGGCAGCTTCAGTCCAGTTTATTGAAAGGAAGAATTGGAATGGAAACCAAATAGGAGATAAAATATGGCAATATTGAATGCGATTGGATTTTTCTTCCAGGTACAATTGGGGCATTTTCAATTTCATCCCCTTGCAGCTGATAGAAACCACCATTTTATGTCTTTAAAGTCACATGACAGACACCTGAGGATGCTTGTTTTCTAATGAGTTGTTTTTATTTTTTATTGCGCAGTATTGAAATGATTCGTTTGGGACAAAGTTTATTTATTGACTGGGATATACATATGTACTATGCAAAGAAAGACACAGCAGCCAAAGCCAGGACAACAACGCTGAATGAACAGCTGGGGCAGATTGAGTACATCTTTACCGACAAGACTGGTACACTGACGCAGAACGTCATGACGTTTAAGAAGTGTTCCATTAATCGAAAGACTTATGGTAAGGCACCAAAAATGTTTATATATATATATATCTAGCGCACCCCCTCAGAGGCAACAGAGAAAAGGTGGATATCCATTATAGCCATGTCTGGTGGATCCCGGTTCTCACTGCCCATTAGCACTTACCACCCTCCAAGGCAAAGCGAGGTCCAGACTGTAGATATGATGCTGAGGAACTTTATTGATGAACTTCAGGGAGAGAGGTTTAGGGCCAGGATCATCTAGCAAGGTGTAGGCTCCTTTAGGCAATAGGACAGAGTAACTGCTGCCATCGCAGACTGGGACCTTTAAGCCAAACATGGCAATCTGTGTGTAGAGCACCTGGCAAAGCAGTACTTGAATCAGAAATCATCAGTCATCTTCCTCCTTGGTATCAGTAGCAGCCACTGGGCCCCCGGACTCAGGCCTGAGTGTAAGCACATGGCTAGTCCACATGCTACAGGCCTAGCCATATCAGACAGTCAGAAGCATCCTCCCCGCAGGCAGGACCTGGGGGAGGAAGAGAGAGCACCTGGCCAAGCAGTACTTGAATCAGAAGTCATTAATAATCTTCATCCTTGGTATCAGTAGCAGCCACTGGGCCCCCAAACTCAGGCCTCAGTGTAAGCACATGGCTAACCCCAAGGCTTCAGGCCTAGCCAGGGCCGGCCCTAGGCCTTTAGGCGCCCCATGCGAGAAAGCTTTACAGCGCCCCTCAGTGACCACACACCTCAGTGGCCACACCCTTTAGTGGCCACCCCCCGTAACCACACCCATTTTCCCCAATATCCGCACCATTTAAAGACTCCAATTTTGTTAAGCCGCAAAGAAACATATTAAAAAGTATGATAAAAATAAAACTTTTATTCAAAGCTATTAAACTTGTAGGCACAATATAAGTATTCTTATCAAATAAAACAACAGAAGGTAAACAATAAATGTCAAACTAAAATAGAGTCTATAAAAATAAAGTGTCAGGTTGTCATGCCGACACCCTTTTTTCAAGTAAGTGCATCTAGAAAAGTAAAAATAGAAAACAGAACACAAAACCCGGACTACATGTAAAATGAATGAATTACTATATGTCCGAATATGCGAAAAATATATTCAGGTGCATAATAATTTGTTTGAGACTGTGCGGCGGCCATGTTGGCCACTGGCGTGTTCTGTGAATGTGTGCCACCATCTTGGAGGCAGGGAGCATGACGTTACATGACGCATGCATGCGTGGCGTCCAGCGGTCTATTTAATTTTGCTGCTGCTGTAGGCAAGGCAGACTAACCGGCCGATTCGTGGACTGCACATCCCTCCCCCCCGATTCCCATAGATGGCATCACCCACCTCTGTATAGTGACACAGAGCAGCAGCCGATGACAGGAGGAAGTCTTCCGCGTCACGTGGCGGCCCGCAAGCAGCAGCGGCGCTGTGTGCTAGATGCCGGCTGCTGCTCTGTGTCGTGGTGCTGGCGCTGGTGGCGAGAGCGCAGTATACAGAGGTGGGTGATGCCATCTACGGGAATCAGCGGGTCAGCCCGTGGGGGATGTGCAGCTTTGCCCTAGGCAAGGCAGCATCGCCGCCCTCAGCGAATCTGCCGCTCCAGGCAAACGCCTTGTTTGCCTCACGCAGATACGCCCCTGGTGGCGTCAGGTGACGTCACACGCCGATATTGGTCCCACCATCTTGGTGTATACCTAGATATACACCAAGATGGCGGCGCCCAACACGTGCGGTATATGACGTCATGCGCCCTGCCTCCAGAACACGCCAACCACGGCTTCTAGGGGGACTACAAATTCCAGCAATACATTTATACGGCAATGCAGAACAGGATATGAATTGGACTCTGGGCTTCGTAACGTGCCGGGCTCTGGGCTTCGTAACGTGCCGGGCTCTGGCCTGCGTAACGTGCCGGGCTCTGGCCTGCGTAACGTGCCGGGCTCTGGCCTGCGTAACGTGCCGGGCTCTGGCCTGCGTAACGTGCCGGGCTCTGGCCTGCGTAACGTGCCGGGCTCTGGCCTGCGTAACGTGCCGGGCTCTGGCCTGCGTAACGTGCCGGGCTCTGGCCTGCGTAACGTGCCGGGCTCTGGCCTGCGTAACGTGCCGGGCTCTGGGCTGCGTAGTGCCTCGGGCTCTGCAATTAGTAGCACCCCGGGCTCTGGGCTTAATAACGCCCCGGGCTCTGGGCTTAGTAGCGCGCCGGGATCTGGGCTTAGTAGCGCGCCGGGATCTGGGCTTAGTAGCGTGCACGGATCTGGGCTTAGTAGCGCGCCAGGCTCTGGGCTTAGTAGCGCGCCGGGCTCTGGGCTTAGTTACGCACTGGACACAGGGCTTAGTAACGCGCCGGACACAGTGCTTAGTAATGCGCTGGACACAGTGCTTAGTAACGCGCCGGACACAGGACCCACCTGAGACCCCACACAGCCCACCCGAAAGTGACTTGCAGAGCACACCATACATGCTGCACGGCCCATCTGAGACTCTCTATGGTGGGCTCTGCAGGGGTCTCAGGTGGGCTGGTTGGGGCTGCATTTCCCTCCCAGCTCTTCTTACCTGCTCCTGCTGCTGGTGCCTGGCCTCCTCTGAGCCGGACGTGACGTGATCCCCCTCTACCTCTGGCCACTCGTCTGGGTTGCTGTCAGACTAGGATAGTGGTGGCGAATGTTTTTGAACCCAAGTGCCCACAACGCAACGTAAAATCAATTTATTTATCTCAAATTGCCAACACTAAAAATAACTTTAGTATTTCGGGCGCTCGGGTTTAAAAAATGTTCAGCATCACCGCCTTCGGCAAAATAAGGAAACGCACATACTCAAATATGTATACACTCATTAACCACTTGCTGCCCGAAGCAATTTCTTACAGTTGCGCACACATAAAATCTGAATAAAATCTGTAGAATAAAAATATGCTAGTTGCAATTTTTTATGTCGCACGGTATTTGCGCGAATGTTTATCATATTTAATATGAGTATTTTTAGGATAAAATACACTAAAATGAAATTTAGTGCACAGAAACCGAATATAATGGCCAATTTTTTGGTAAAATATAAAAGACGGGGTCACACCCGGGAAACCGCAAAAAACTACAATAACCAAAATTTCCAATGGGCGACGCTTTAAATGCTTTTACGGCTCATCGGTTTAGTGCTATCATTGCGCCATTGCTAAAGGAGTTGCTTCCATCTTCTTCTGAGCTTCTTTGAGCTGGTTTGGGGTTGTGTGGTGTAGCAAACATTGAATGGTTCCAGGTGTTTTCTGTTTTCATTTGAGACAAGTTTGAAATGTGCTCCTTCTGATTTCCCTCTGACCTTTTTCTGACTTGCTTCTGACCTGCTTCCAAGGTCCTTATGAATTGCTTCCGTGTGTAGGTATGGCTGAAGCGCACAATAAAAAAAGGAACACCAACTATGTATAACCTGATGCTGTGAAGCTTAACTGGCAATTTTTGTTGTCCAAACTGGAGTTTTTTTTTATGCACTTTTTTCCTGCAGGTGAACCAAGACCAGTGACTGGAAAATCAGTAGGTGGCAGTGTGGTGAGTAGGCATGATTATGTTTAGCTGTCCTATACCCGTTTTCAATCCTCGCAGCTCGGCAACAGCTCTCTTTGGCTGAGGAGTGAGGAGGGTTTTCATACTCTAGTTGGTTTGATGAAATCTCTGCTACTTCTTTGTACTTTTACCAATGGTCTACCGAGGATGGAAATATGAAATCTGCCACTGCTGACTTGGCTATCATTATAACTATGGATGCACCGATACCGTTACTAGTATCAATGCCGATACGAGTATTTGGGCGAGTACTCGTATCACCCAAATGCTCCGATACTTACCTCCGATACCTGAACTTACGGTCAGAGGGAGATCTCCCTTTGACCGGCAGTGCCAAGGGAGCATGGAGTCGGCTTCCTTTCCAACCATGAAGCCGGGTGGTGGGTTATGACCCGCCTCCCGGCTTCCTGATTGACTAGGAAGCCAGCTTCACGTGTTGTTAGGCAGCCTGTCTTCCTTACCAATTAGGAAGCCGGGTGGCACGTAATACCTGTCTCCTGGCTTTCTGTTTGGTCGGGAAGCCAGGCTGCCTAGGAACAAGTAAAGCCGGCTTCCTAGCCAATCAGGAAGGAGGGAGGCAGGTCATGACGTGCATCCCAGCTTCCTCATTGGCTGCATTTTTATGTTTTCATTGCATAACACTGCAGAACAAACTGGTGCCTTCTGTGCAGCATGAAATAAAAATAATTTGCATTCACATTGTATAACTAGAATTCAATAATAATATTGATAATCTAAGAGATGGATTTTAATTGCAGTGTGCTGATTGGCTGCCCTGTTCCCATGCTAACACGCAGGTGGTAAAACCCGAACCTCAATGGCCACTTGATAAGGCATTCTACTTTGTTTTCAGTGTTGGCCTATTTTGAACAAACATTTTTTTCTGTTTTTTATTTTCAGCAAGTGGACTTCAGCTGGAATCCTTTAGCTGATCCCAACTTTACTTACAACGACAAGTACTTAGTTGACCAAATCCGGTCAGGGAGTGACCCATATGTACGAGAATTCTTCAAGTTGCTTGCTCTGTGTCACACAGTGATGGTGGATAAGACAGAAGGTATGTACTTTCTTCTTGTTTATGGGTCAGCAGCTGATTTAAACGAAAACTTTTCTAAAAGCTCCACAAAGATACACCTACAGATACGTGGATACATGTTCCAGGAATTTATAAGGCTACTGATACTAAATGTTGGAGTTCCCCTCTTATATTCAAGTAATGCACAGCTAAGAAGGGGCATTTTGTTTTTAGTGTGTGGGGAGATTCCATTCTCTGATTGGGCGATCCATGTGATGGGTGCTGTATGGAGGCTGGTAAGGGTGTTGCTTGGCCAACAGCCAGTAACAGTGCACACATTGAGAGAACTAAGCAGCATTGCACATGTTCTTACATGGGAGAAGTTGCCATAAGACCCTGACAGAGGAGCAGAAGATGCTCATGATGCCGCATCCCAGTTCATTCAAGCGTTGGGTTCCCAGATGGGGAGTCCTGTTCCTCGTACAAACTAAGAGGGGATTCCCGTTCACTTTGTAAAGTTTTCCTCTCTCCTGTTGTGCTCCCTGGCAGGAAGTAAAGAGAAATCTTTCCATTTGGACACAAAGAAAAAAAACCTGACAGGGGTTTTAAGTTGGTGCTATTACTAAAGGTCCATCAGAAAGACCATTGAACTGTCAGTGTCATATCTAGTTCTCTGCCTTTCCTGGTCAATAAAACTACAATACAGTAACATTCACAGAGGGCGATTTATCAAAACTGGAGCAGACAAATGCTGGAGCAGATTTGCACTGCACCCAATCAACTTCTTTGTCTCATTTTCAAATCTGACCTGAGCAAACTGAAGAGAGAAGCTGATTGGTTGCCATGGGCAACTGCTCCAGATTCTGTCTACTCCATTTCTGATAAATTCCCCCTCTGGAGTCTTCTCCATGTCTGAATATTGTACCTGGACAAACAGGTAATGGAGTGCCCTAACTGACCAAACCTGGTCATTATAAACTTATCAGATGTTAGGAGCATGTCTAATGACCCTATGCCTGTCACAACCTCCCAGCTCCTTCTGGGGGTTGCTTGTTGCCACTGCACTTATCACAGTCTTTTTGTCAGGTGTGGGCTAATTAATGCCGTCTCTGTGTGGCTTGCTGGCTGCAGCACTAGTCTAGACAGCTGTGGCCTAATTAATCTGTTCACACACCTGCAACTCTGGCATTTGCTTTGCCACTGGTGGCACCCAAATTAAGCATCATCAGCCTGTTCCTTAGTGCTTGTGATAGCATTTCCTGCTGATCAAGTCTGTGTTTGTGTGTCTGCATTCTTGCTTGTCTGATACCTGTCTTGACCCTCAGCTATGTTTTCTGGACACTCCTTTGTCTGGTACCTGCCCTGACCTTTTGCTAAGTTTACCGGATTCTTGTTTGTTTGCTACCTGCCCTGACCTCTCGCTACGTTTCTTGGATTCCTCTTCTACTTCTCACCTTCCACTGCTCTATGCTGTGTTTACTTTATGGGTCTGTAGCAACAACCATGGCCAGAGTGTATATACCCTGTTTCCCCAAAAATAAGACCTACCCCGAAAATAAGATCTAGTACTATTTTTGGGAATTGCTAAAATATAAGACCAACCCCGAAAATAAGACCTAGTTGTGACCATTCCCAGGGCTGGTGGTGGCATAAGGGGGAACTTGAAGAGCCACGGGAGAGAATCAGCGGTGCCAATGAAGCCAGCGCTAGAGGAAGCGAGGCGGCAGCGGAGGGAGCAGAGCCGCATAAGCCGATGCCTCCTCTATAGCGCCAGCTCCTGTCACAGGCGGAGTGATACCAAATGCGCTCCTCCTGTGAGGAATCGATAGTGAAAGTGCGCTTCGCTCATTCTGGCAAGCGATTGGTTACCAAATTGCTCTTGGAAAGGTACGGCACCCCTGATTGCCCTGATCACCATATTTTTGTACATGAATAAGTGTGGAATGTTGTACATTAAAAAAAGAAAATAAGACCTACCCCGAAAATGAGACCTAGTGTGTGTTTCTGAGTGTCTTATTTTCGGGGAAACACGGTAGTACAAGTCCTGGGGGGATTTAAGTACCGGTAGGCTGCTAAAGGTGAAACGCATCATCACAACATAGTCGGACCTAGGTGTTTGCATACGTGACCTTACACCAGAACTAGGACAGCCTCTGATAATTCTTTTTTAGTACCAAACAACAAGACAATGGCTTTGAATCATTAGACTGCAAAGAAAATGTTACATTTGGGGTCAGAAATCTCTGCAGAATTACTGTATAAACCTGGGATTAGGTGTTCCCAGAATGCCACATTACCGGACCTGAAGATTTTACTGTAACCTGTTGTACACCAGTTAAGAGAACGCATATTCTAGGTAAATATACTGTGATCCCTGTATGCCTATCCATGGTAAAATATAACATTTGAGAAGAAAGAGCCTTTAATATCTTTCTCATACTGTATAAGGTATTTAGAGTATTATGGTCTCAACATTTCTATTCCATTTATCATTTATTATGGGATTAAATGTATTTCTTTTTCTCATATTCTTAGATGGTGAGTTGTGCTATGAAGCAGCATCACCAGATGAAGGAGCACTAGTGACAGCAGCCAGGAACTTTGGATTTGTGTTTCTATCGAGAACTCAGAGCACCATCACCATTAGCGAGCTGGGGAAAGAAGTCACGTATGAACGTCTGGCCATCTTGGACTTTAACAGCGATAGAAAACGCATGTCTGTGATAGGTAATCAGTCTAGTTAGATTGTAAGTCCACCATTGACCAAGTTTTCATAATAAAACTACCCATAACAATGAGTTGCCAGTCTACTGATTCAGCTGGATCAGGTGATCGTGCGTAATTTGCTCATCCACTGGCCAACCGTTCTTGGTGGGAATAATTAATCAGGAAGACCTGAACTATAGTTACTCCTATGATAAGCTTCTTATCCCCCTCCTCTGACCAAGGACACATCAGAGTTGATATACTGAAGGCAAACAGGCTGTTTACTTTGAAATGAAAATTCCCTTGCATAGTGAACACCCCATTTGCCTTCAATAAATCAACACCATTATGTTCATGGAGCATTGGAATAGCTAGAGATAAGTCAAAGGGCAACTCGAGCATGCAGGGCAAAGCAACAGGCTCTCTTAACTGTCGTCCCTCCCCAGCTGCACATACTCACCTTCCCTTTACTTTCTTGATGCCCTGTTTGGTCTTAAGGAGCAAAGAGATATACCTGTTACTTCTGGGTATGTAAGACTCACTCCTCTCTTCACACATGATAGCAATGTTGCTTAGTGATTGGCCGCTCAGCCACCCAAAGCTGTCACATGGGGTCAGGGAGAGAGTTCCCAGCTATGGGCTATGGGCTATGATTTATCTCCTTATTGACAGTATCTCAGATATGCCCTTTCTGCTCACTCCTGTACTTACAAAATGCTTGTTGTCACATGAATTGCTGTCTGTACATTTAGAACCAAGAGGCCAATTTTTTCACATGCCTGCCTATTGGTGACTATAAAGTAAATAGTGCCAAAGCTTTTATGGGCAAGTTACAGCAAATTAATTTTAACAAAACCATATTTAACTGTCAGCAAAATGTCCTATTGTAGCGGTGTTGTGGATTTAGAAACAAACCCTTTTTATTCTTTTTTTTGCAGTACGGCATCCAGATGGGAGCTTAAAACTTTACTGTAAAGGTGCTGACACCATCATATACGCTCTGCTGCATCCGGACAACCCAATCCAAGAGCCTACTCAGGAAGCGTTAGATGTAAGTGAGTCTTTATTACATTACATAGTGGCATCTTTTTTGCCACAACTTTCTTTTGCCTTTTGGTACCTTAAAGGAGAATTATGAGGTGAGTGCTTTTCACTCACCTCATAGTTCTAGCCGACCTGTGACCAGTCAAACAGATAAATGCAATGTTGAAATCTATATCATCTTCCTGCCCCCTGCCTGCAGTTTTCCAGGACATCTGCCCCCAGGTCATCTCCGTGTCCCCAGCCTGCAGTGTCTCCAAACATCTCCCAGGTCATCTCCCATCCCACTGCCTGCAATGTCCCCAGACATCTGCCTCCAGCCTACAACGTCTTCGAACATCTTCCCCCGCTTGCAATGTCTTCAGATATCTGCCCCCAGCCTACAATGTCTGGGGTCAGGGCTTTTCCCCATTGTTCTCCTAAGGGTCACGGGAGAACACAAACTAGCGTCTTCTCGTGACCCATAGCTCAGTATACCGCGAGCTACCGCGAGCGGTATACTGAGACGCCGCAGCGGATCCACACAATTCTGTCTGGATCCACCCAGCTGCGTGATTGACAGCTGGCTCTGCCTATCCAGAGGCAGAGCCAGCTGTGCCCGCCCCCTCCCCTGTCCGATCCGCCAGTTAGCGCTGAATGATCGGACAGGGGAGGGGGGGGAATCTCTGCAGGGAACCGTGACGGCTCTCTGCAGGGATAGATCGAGAAGTGAGTGAGCAACGGTATGTGTTCGCTCACTTCCCGATCTACTGAGCCGACCTCTGACAGTTTAATTGTCACAGGTCGGCTCAGATTATGAGGCTGAGTGAAAATCACTCACCTCATAATTCTCCTTTAACTTCTTGTAAGGCCATGATTCTTCCAGCCTCTGAAAATAGTCTGTTTAGCAGCTACAAAAAAAGAAGGTGGTGAGCTTTTTCTGTGAGGTGCTTAGGCCCAAAATACCACAGAAATCAATTAATCCGCCCACAACATATACATCTGGTTGAACCCCCTAATTGCTTTTGTACCAAGGATTCTGCAGTACTGAAAATATTTATGTTGGCACCACTACTAGCTTGGGTTCCATTACATTGCTAAAGTTGTATATGCTGCACCATTGTTCTTTAAATAAAATAGAGGCACAAGAACCCCACAAGAGCTCACATCATAGTTCCACATACATTCTTCTAGCAAATACCAGAACTGCCACTTTACTAGACCAAGCCTATTTGCATTGTTTTCTGAGTTATAAACCTAGTTCATCTCCCTGAAATACCGAACACTTTGTATATTTGTATTGAAGCATTCACTGTACTATACTGCCCTCATCTTCAGGTGTTTGCCAATGAGACCCTTAGGACCCTGTGCCTGTGTTACAAAGACATCAGCGAGGAAGAGTTTTACAAATGGAACAAGAGGCATAAAGCGGCCATTGTGGAGGTCGACAACCGTGATGAAGCTTTGGATAAAGTGTATAAAGAGATTGAAACTGACCTCGTGGTATGTGACCCAATCCCATATAGACAATCGGCAATTTAATGGCATTAAATGTCATTTTTGTGAAATTTCAACAAAGTTAAAAAGAAAAAAGTCAAAGAGTGCAATGTGTAGTCAGACCGCACACCCGCAGGGACGTATTATAGGGTCCCTAATGAGCCTTAGCTGGTGTGAACATGCTGAAAAGAAATACAGTTTAAAGATATATTAAATTTTTTCGTTCAGTAAATATGACACTGCGTATAATATTTTATTGGTAGGCAACCTTGGCACTCCAGCTGTGGTGAAACTACAAGTCCCACGCATTGCAAGACTCTGACAGCCAGAGGCATGACTCCCAGAGACAGAGGCATGATTGGATTTTTCGTTTCATTACAGCTGGGGTGCTGAGGTTGCTTACTGTTGGAACTTCTTGCACAGCCTCACAGAGAAACACAAGCACGCAGTCTGATATGCATGCTGCACATGGCTTGGCTAGGAAAACAGGAAGGAAGGCACAGCTTTATTCTCTACCTTATTCAATACAACAGAGAATCTACCATAGATATATAACACAACACTGCCATCTAGTGGCCGAAATTGTATACTGCAGGGGTTATTGCTATAAAAACAGTAATGTGTATTCTAACACTTACCCCTGTAATACTTCATATTTACCTAATTTAGGGGGGAGCTCTGGGCTCCGTGTCACATATACCAGTCTTGCCATAATGCTAGCCTGTTGCCACTCTTTATCAAACTTTGCCAAACTTTAAAAGAAGAGACTTAGAACTCACCTGTCCCTCCACATGTTGCTCTGATCTTCACCTAGTGCAGAGCCTCCAGAAGAATCTGCACATATCCTATGGGGCAGCACAGTGGTGTCTGAGGCCTCTGGTTCAAAGCCCTGTCAGGACACTATCTGCATGGAGTTTGCATGTTCTCCCTGTGTTTGTGTGGGTTTCCTCCCAAACTCCAAAGACATGCTGAAAATGTAATTGGCTCCTGTCTAAATCGGCACTGTATGTATGTGAGATAGGAACCTTGGATTGTAAGCTCCTTGAGGGCAGGGACTGATGTGAATGTGCAACTATGTAAAGCACTGCGTACAATGTCGGCGCTATATAAATACCTGCAATAATTCAATAAATATCTTGAACCTTCCGGATGTGTCATATGCCTGGTCTCCCGTGGTTCCACCCCTGGCCTTTACATTACTACAGATTCAATTAGAGCAGCGGTTCTCAACCTGTGGGTCGCGACCCCCTCGGGGGTCAAATCACGATTTGCCAGGGGTCGCCCGGGAGTCTCCCACTATTAGATAGCGGCTCCTGGCCGCCCGGGAAAGAAACAATTTCTCCCTGGAAAGTGTAAAGCAGAGTCAACCTTTCCCTGCGATGGTTTTTTTTATTTTGACATCGGGGGACGCTGGCCACCGTAAGTCAGGAAAAAAACCCACCATAGGAATACATAGCTAGATTCCTATTGGCTATTTCACTTTGCAATAGCCAATAGCAAACTAGATATTGCACCCACCCTCGGCTGCTGCCAATCAGCAGAGGGGGGCATGCAGTTCTCCATCAGGTCCTCTTCTAGTGATTGACAGCAGCAGAGGGCGGGTGCAATAGCTAGTTTGCTATTAGCTATTGCAAAGTGAAATAGCAATAGGAATCTAGCTATGCATTACTATGGTGGGTTTTTTATTTTATTTTATTCTGACGGCGTACGCCGGTGGTTTTCAACCTGCGGGTCGCTGTGTGATTTCTCCTGTGCTAGGTGAGAGTCCTCCTCAGCCCTCTCCCAGCGCAGCAGTGTCAGTTCTCCCACCACGCCGCCAGATGTCGCTGAAGCAGCTGCCTCATCCCTAAATTTTACCGTTGGGGGTCACCACAACTTGGCAAATGTTACCAAGGGGTCCCGGCCCTAGAAAGGTTGAGAACCACTGAGAGACAGTCTGAAGGCAAAGAGTTTATGCTGAGCTTTCTCTATAAAATCCCACAACCCTTTATACAGTCAGTGTTATGGGTGTACCCTTAATTAGATATTTATTTATAAAATAAAAACATTAACTAAATAATAAAGTAATAATATATTAAATGTCTCCTGCCACTTTGGCTGCAGTCTGTGATCTTCATCTCCCACTCTGACAATGTGCACACATTAAAATGTTTATTCTCTGTTCTTTACAGAGAAAGAGACCACATGGAGGACACTAGTACAAAAGTGTTTCTAAAATGTTCTAAGATCTCTATATGTGATACTGAACCCTTCCAGAGCTAGGAAATGATCGGTATCACTCTATTCTTCTGCCTGATGTTACATTATTTGGTTTTATTTATCCTCATGCATGGATTCTGTAGAGATGAACGATTAGTAATTCTGCCAGGTAAATAGCACATTTGAACCAGTAGCATATGACCTTTGTGGAGGAATTTGGGTCCAAAACATGGATAGTTGACTGTTATATGACATAGAATTGGATGCTGTAGGACAGGCCCATAACTATGTTTGATGGGGCCCCAGAGCAACAAGTCTAAGGTGCCTCCTGTCCCCTAATCTCAAAGACAATTCCTCCAATTATACAGATTGCTCATTCTTTTCCTAGCAGTTGTACAGAGGTTCCCAAACTGTACATTTATTTTATCCAAATGTATTATCCAAACACGATTGTTATTTGGTTTAATCATTGTCTTAATGGACAGCTTTTGGCCCCCTTAGTTTCTGGGCCCAATGGCAGTTGCATAGTCTGAGATGGCTATAATTATGCCCTTGCTCCAGGAAAGAGAGACATGTTGACCTTCAAAGCAAGACCTAATTTTGACTGATTTTTGCTCCTTCAATTTAGTATTAGTATTTACATGGGAATTGTAATAGGTTTCTCATTTTGAAAGTGCTTTTTATTTTACTTTTTAGTTACTGGGAGCCACAGCAATTGAAGACAAGTTACAGGACGGTGTACCACAGACTATCTTCACTTTGGCAAAAGCAGACATAAAGATCTGGGTTCTAACTGGAGACAAGAAAGGTAAAAATTCAGTAGATAGGTAAGATGGGCTATATCGTTCTCAAACAAAGTAAGACTAAAAATCCCATTAATTCCTAAGAAGAGGACATTGACTGTGGGGATGTAAATACATGGCCTCTCTATAAGAATAAATAAGATTTTTCTACGCATTGAGAAAGGAAGAAGGTGCCTCACTGGGAGAGTTTTGCATGGTGGCTGTGCGGGTCCCAGCAAGGGGTGCTGGGAGATCTGCTAGGAGCATGAACAGGTGAGTATTAGACTTCGGGAGGTGCTGGGGGTATCTTCCAGGAGCCTGGGCAGGTGAGTGAAAGACATTGGGGGATGCAAAAGTGATCAGCTAGGAGCATGAACAGATGATAATAAGACTTGTAAGGGTGCTGGGTGATGTGCAAGGAGTGTGGACAGGTGAATATAGAATTTGAGGGCTGCTGGGGGGAATCTGTCAGGAGGATGGACAGGTGAGTATAAGAACTTGGGGGGTTGCTGGGGAGATTTGCAGAGGAGATCTGCCAGGGGCATGGATGGGTGAGTACAAAACTTTAAGGGGTACCAGGGGATCTGCCAGGAGTATGGGCAGGTGAGTGTAATACTTTAAGGGGTGCTCGGGAGATCTGCCAGGAGTGTGGACGGGCGAGTATAATACTTTGGGGGTGCAGGGGGATCGCTTAAAGTGACATTAAACCCTCAGATTTTTTTAACATAAAACAATACTGTAATGTGTACCTTACTGTAATCCATGGTTGTTTCCCTTCTCTTTGCTGCTCTTCCTTTTAAATCCTCATGTCTTCTCATGCTTGGGGAGAACTTCCCTTTTCAGCTCAGGGCCTCTTCCTGTAGTGCTGGCTCAGGTTTCAAGCCCATACAAACTTATACACGGACACCGTGTATCCATTCCTGAGACAAGGCAGTCTGCTGCAAAACAGAAGTTCTGCAGAGCATGAGAAGACATGAGGATTTAAAAGGAAGAGCAGCAAAGACAAGGGAAACAACCATGGATTACAGTAAGGCACACATTACGGTATTGGTTTATGTTAAAAAATCTGAAGGTTTAATGTCACTTTAACTAATCTATAAACAGGATAATAAAGAATCATGGTTGCATGAGGTGTCCTACATGATCATTACTAGAAAAAGAAAACAAACAAGCAAACAAAAATATAAAAAAGGGGCAGACTTAATGGACCACTTGGTCTTTATCTGCCATCACTCTTCTCTGTTTCTAACAGGAGCGGCTATATTGATTACAATGATTGCATGACAATGTATAGGGTATATATTTATTTGCTTTAGATGCTGAGCCATTATGGAATTTAGAACCATTCTCCCTTCGATACTCTGTACTTTCCTTTTTAATAATATATCACATGACACATTGCCCAACAATTACAGAAACCTTTAATAATTTATTTTACACCTCGGCTTGTTCTTTGTTAATAAAGTCTAATAGAAAATATATATTTTTTCAGAAACAGCAGAAAACATTGGCCTAGCCTGTAAACTTCTAACAGACGAATCTGTTATAACCTATGGAGAAGAAGTCAAGTAAGTACAGATGGCAATACTGCATAGGGCTGTCCCTATGGTATTCGCCACCTAAGGCGGTGGTGTTCTGAAAGGGGGGGGGGGACTTGCTGACAAGGAACACTTTTTGTGTGGGGGGAGGCAGTTGTGGGGATGGCCGGCTCACTGGCATCACTGGTTGAGTGTCTCGCTCAGCTCTTGGCAACAGGTGAATTCAGGGAGCTGGGTGGGACACCAGACAGAGCGCCAAAGGTTGCTAATAGCTCTTAGCAACCTGGAACACTGTGGCCACCACCTGACACCCCACCACCAGCCAGCCACCCTCTGCCACCCCACCCCCCAATGAGAGGCTGACTGAGGCAACTGCCTCATTCGAGGGATGGCCATGTATTTACCTCTCAGGTGGACTGTGTATCATACCATCGATTCTTCCAGCACTGCATCCTCCATTAGAGTGGATCTGGCAGCATTAAACATGCAGAAATGTGTATGTAGAGATGTAGACATACACTTTAAAGCCTAATTAAAGTCAAAGAAATAGATATGAATCAGACAGAAATTGTACTGACAACCTTCATTTTCATAGTCTTACCTCCTATTAAGAAAGTTGTAGTTTTGTAAATATGACAGTGCAGTCCAGCAAGCATCAAAGTAGAGACCCAGTGCACTCAGTAATCAGCACCTACTAACAGACCTGGTCAGACACACCCCTCTCTTCCTCTGCAATACACGTATGTGTGAGGATACTTGTGATGATCAGTGGGAAAAGAAAGAGAAGAGCATCATCAATGTTGATCTGAGTTTTCATGAAAACCTTCTTGTTTAAAGGAGAACTATAAGGTGGGGGCTTTTCACTCACCTCATAGTTCTAGCCGTCCTGGGACAATGAGACTGTCACAGGTCGGCTCAGTAGATCGGGAGGTGAGCGAACACATACCGGCGTTCGCTCACCTCTCGATCCTGTCACAGCTCTCAGCCGTGACAGGGGAGGGGCTGGATTCCCCCCTCCGATCTGCCAGCGCTGACTGGCGGGTCGGATGGGGGAGGGGGCGGGTACAGCTGGCTCTGCCTCTAGATAGGCAGAGCCAGCTGTCACTCACGCAGCTGGGCGGATCCAGACATAATTGTCGGTATCAGCTTCAGCTGCGGCGTCTAAGTATACCGCGAGCTGTAGCTCGCGGGATACTGAGCTTAGGGTGACGGGAGGACGCTAGTTTGTGTCCTCCCATTACCGTAAGAAGAACTATGGGGAAAAGCCCTAACCCCATAGTTCTCCTTTAAGGAATTATCTAGCAAAAAATCAATTGCACATCATAACACCGCCCCTTTTTTACATTTTATAATCTCAGTTGTAGGGATTCAGTCTTGCTATTAAATAAAATTGACGTATCCAAGGCTCAGCATTAAGAAAAAATGTTTCTCATTCATGTTTACTCCTCCAGCACTTTAATACAGAGACGAATAGACCTTCAGATGACGGCTGACAATGCAGTGGAAATGCGTAGACTTAATGAGCCCGATGCTCTGGCTAACAAAAAGCGTGCGTTAATTATAACGGGATCCTGGCTGGTAAGTCATCATTGAACATACAGATATCTAACAGAAAGCCTGTTCATGTTGCTTATTTATGAAGGCCTTTTTGTCGGTTTTTTTGCATCACCTCGTCTACGCAAAGGATAAGACGCCTCCACGTGATATTATTGTGTACCAGGAGGCTTCTGATCACCCTTAGGCCCCTTTCACATTGTCCGATCAGGAGGGTCACATCCATCCATTTAGATCCGGCTGCCCATACACTTACATTGGGCATCCGATCGGGTCTGCCTGAAAAACTCACAGGCGGACCTGATCAGACCTACCATCTGAAAGGGGCCTTACTGTCAGCTCTATACCAAACACAAAATGACAGACACCACTCGGTGTGCAGGAAAAGGAGGCCAACATTTGAAAAACAAATCCCTTAGCCAAAAAAAATCCAACCTACCATATACTAATAAGTTAAGTATATAGGAAAAAATTTTTAATACTTACCAGTGTCTCATATATACAAACTAGACACCCATAATTAGCTAGTTGCCATCCCCACAAAGTGCATGGAACATATGAAAAACACTAAAACATTCCTGTATCCCCAGAACCAGTGGTCTCAAAGTACCGGCCCACGGGCCAATCATTAACATGAATGGGTGACAGCTGCCGTTTGTAAACACCAAATTATTTCTGCTGCAGAAAAATGCAAGTTCCTGATGCAGGAATCCCTAATCGCACCTAAACTTACAGATATGAATGGGGCCTTATTGTGTGTGTATTGGTGTTCGTAGTACCAAAACCAGATATAGTTACATTTTATTTTAAAGCGTGAAATTTGGCAAGCGGCCCCTATGGGAGAAAAAAATGTGTCTAGTGGCCCCCGAGTGAATTGAGTTTGAGACCCCTGCCCTAAATCATACCACCGACCCCAATAATATATCATATGAAAAACCAATCCCGGGATTCACGAAGGGTTCCTGATTGGTGTGACTCAAAGTCACAAAAATTTCTGCCCCAAACGCAAAGCAAAGAACAACATATATCAGCAATATAGACATGCTGTATATATGGATAAATCAATGATACGAACAATGCAAAATAAAAGAATGATAATAGAACCTGTGTTAGGAGAAGGATAGTGGCATCCTCTGGGTCTGCTGATGTACAAAGCTTGGAAATCTGGGTGGGTGGAATTAAATCAACGCATAACGTATCAGCTCAGGAATAGTGCATGGAGGCTGCCAGCTCAGGAAGGACGCATGGTGACAACTCCAAGTGTGGCTTTATAGGCCTAATAATAAAATCTCTTACAATAACCAAACTGTTTGAGGGAAATCAGAATTTCTGGCTTAATCTTTCACTTATTCACTTTTCTGAGACAGTGCAACCATACAGATCATGGTGACAAGGGACTAAAGGAATGAAAAATCCCTCAACTCTATTCAGTAACATAGTAAAGCCTTCTCAAAACAGAAGATATTCACAGGTCTCATTCCAAACTATTTGCATGACTCTGCACACTATTCTTAAGTGAGCTCTTCTTTTTGTAATATGTGATGGAATGAGACATCAATACCGTCTAATGGGGGGATAAGGGCTTTTACGTTTCTTTAGTCCTTTCTCACCTCTATGATTACTTTGACTTGTTGGGTTCCAAGCCCTACTCCATTGAAGCCTTTATTTCCGTGCATTACACTGATGATGGCCAAAAAGCCTGAAACAGCTGTATGCAGTTTGGAGTAAATGGCCCTATCATCGCTGACTTTGCCATGAGCTGGGTGGGACGCCATTCAGAGCATCACAGGTTGCCACAGCTCTTAGCAAACTGGGATGCTCTGGCCGGAAAGGGGTGGCCCACATGGCCCAAAATGATGCTGTCTGAGGCAATCACCTCAGGCTGCCTCATTATAGGGAAAGCCCTAGGCTATATTTGCACTATAACTAAGCAGTGTTGGATATGCATCTACCCAATGGGATGTAAAGCAATGATATACTGTGTGTATGTATATATATATATATTGTGGCATTACCACGGTGATAGGTGGCCTCAAAGTCACCCAGGGTTCTCAGCCAGAGGGGCTGAGTGGCTCCAGGAAGAAAGTACGTGTACCAGGAGAGAGCTGCCTTTTCAGTCCTTTCCAGGTTTTCTGGATCCTAGTTGGGATCCTGGAGCCAGGAGATTTCTTAGAGCTCTGGGTGGGATGAAATCTCCATTCCTGGGTCCATGCTCTGGTAGTGACCAGCACCTGATTGTGCACCTGTGCACATCCCTCATGAAGAGTGTGCTGGGATGTGTTCAGGGCCCCACCTGTGAGTCAGGAGAGCTCCACCCCGGAGTCAGTGTGGAGGCCAGGGCAGCAGGGAGCTGCGGGTTCGTGAACGTATTGGGAGGATTGGCATGTTATTGCCTTTGTCTGGAGGAACCAGACAGTGGCCCTGAAGATTGAGGCCAGAGCAGCAGTGCTGCAAGAGAGACTTATTCAAAGACTGGGACACCGTGAGTGTATGGGACAACTCGAGGATTGGTGAGCCCTGATCTGTTATATGCTACAGCAAGCCATTTATGTTGGATTTTGTGATTATCACCGTTTTGAAAGAAAATAAAGACTCTGTGTTTTGAAAAACCTGCTGTGCGAGTGCTCTGTGAGCTCGACAATATCACAATATGTATATATATATATCCACTATAAATCTTTTGAATATCCATGGTGGACCAATGACATTTTCTATTTGGTTTGACCAAGTATAACGTAATTTTGGCCAGACTGCTTTTTAATCTGTTAAAGCCTAACTTCATAAAAATGTTTTTTGTATTTTCGAAAAGAGTAGGCAAGAGTTAAGGTGTGTGTCTTTTATTTGTCTGTGACCCCGTGTACCAAATGGGGGGTGCATTTGTCGACCAGGATAGGAATTTAACTAAAGAACTAAAGGCTGTTCACTTTTTAAAGTGTATGTTCATTTTGCCTAATAAATACGGTGAAGCAGTGTTAACTTTGTATGCCAAATCATGTGCAAGGAAAATAACAAAACAAAAAAAAAGATTTTTGGATGGATGATTGTAGTAAACACAGGTTCAGATCATTCACTAGGAGAACATATACTTTACAAAGTGAACATGCTCTATTCATTTAATGAATCATCCGCAGAGCCAGAAATCTTAACCTTCCCCACTCTATTAAAATGTTGTTTTTGTCTTGGAGATATTTTCAGTCAGTTCGTGTCAACTTGGATGAAGTTAACCTGAACATGTTTTACCTTAATTCTAATTCTTTATTATCCAAATAATATTGAATAATTTAATATGCAGAATGAAATCCTCATGGAAAAGAAAAAGAAGAAAAGACGGCGCCTAAAACTGAAGTTTCCCAGAAGCACAGGGCAGAACGCTCTAGAAGAGAAAAGAAAAACGAATGCTTTGAAAGAAGAGAGACAGAAGAACTTTGTGGACCTGGCATGTGAGTGCCATTCTGTCATCTGCTGCAGAGTGACCCCCAAACAGAAGGCCATGGTGGTAGACTTGGTGAAGAAGTACAAGAAGGCCATCACCTTGTCCATCGGAGACGGCGCCAACGATGTCAGCATGATTAAGAGTAAGAGGAAAAAAATTGCAGGCATTCTGTCATTACCATGACTCAAAAAGAAGAAGAATAAAGAAGAGAATTCCAATTCAAAAAGTGTATATCTGGATTATATAATCACTTCCTGTCCAGTCTTCTACTCCATTTAATTCCAAAGTCCTGATAAAGACTTTGGAAGACCTGAAATTCTGTTAGCCCTTTTTGTTGAATGCAATGGCAAAATGAATTAGGGCTGCAACAACTAACCGACTAAATCGATTATAATCGATAATGAGAATAGTTGGCAACGATTCTCATCATCAATTAGTTGGGGGAGGATTGTTGTTTTCTTAACAACCAATCGATTCATTGAAAAAATAATCGGAACCTTATCGATTATGAAAATAAACGTTAGCTGCAGCCCTAAAATCAATTTGTGCGTACACGTTTTAATTGGCACTCTCTTCTTTATTCTTCTTCTGCATTTTATTAGGAACATACTAAGGTTCCTGTACATCAGATAATTTCCTGTGGAGCTATGCACATTACAAAATTCACCCAACCAGGTGTCCAACTATACCAAGAGATCCAGTGCTCCTACACCTTACCATTTGTCCAGTTAAAGTGACCCATGCCATTCCTCTTGCTATTCCATCTAACAGTACTTGTGCATAGAGGTTGTTGTATTCTGACCCTTTCTCATTCTGTACAAAGTGAAACAATAAAATATTTTCGCTGGAATTTTATGTTGATAACTGCAACACTCAGTTCTTTAGCAGATATTACAGGGTAATTCATGTTAATGTCTTCTGTTTTAGCTGCCCATATAGGTGTTGGTATTAGTGGACAGGAAGGTATGCAGGCCGTGATGTCTAGTGACTACTCCTTCGCTCAGTTCCGATACCTGCAGAGGTTGATCCTGGTCCACGGTCGCTGGTCCTACATCCGCATGTGCAAGTTCCTCAGTTATTTCTTCTACAAGAACTTTGCATACACACTGGTGCACTTCTGGTATGCCTTCTTCTGTGGATTTTCTGGTCAGGTACTGTGGATCATTGATTACTTTTACAGTATATTGTTGTAAATAGTAATGTTGTCATTAATAAGGAATAAGGGACATACAGTGAATACCCATCTAATGGGGCAATCTAATGACTTTCATTAATCTGATTGTATTACACTTAAAGTTGAACTGAAGCCAAAACTTTTTTTTAGTTTTGTACAGAGTAAGGGAGGGATATAATAATACCTAACAGCTTTATTTCCCCCATCTGTTTCCCATTGGGGAGATTTCCCTTCAGTTGCTGTCTAGCAGCCACAACAGGAAATGAGATGAAATCCCTTCAAAGAGAGGGAAATCCCAAGAGGTCAGCAGAACTAGTGTCCCCGTTGGAAAATTAGAGAACACATTTTCCTTGGGAAAATCCAAAACTAAAAAAAAATTGGGCTTCAGTTGCACTTTAAATCTGAGAATTGTCACTCTGTATTACTGTACAATGCTGTGTATGTTAATATTGGGTCAGCCCACCCAAATGTGGTATATTAGTTATAAGCTTCATCTTGGATACTATAACAGCAAGATCTCCCTCTCCTAATTCCTGACTTTGTTCCTGTCCACCTGGGAGTTTAAGATGTCCCCGACCACCTTTGTGTGTTCTGGCTCCTCCCATTGCATTCTCCATAATTTAAAAGTATTAATACCATTTAGCAGAGAGAGTGAGAGCTCCTCACAATGCTCACAGAGTGAAGACCCGTGAACTCAAGAGCAGACATCTCAGCAGTATAGTCACTATAGTCTCTAAAGGTCTGTCAAGTAGTTTAACAATGCAGCCAACAATCTACCAAAAACTATACTAAAAACTAAACTAAAATACAATTTGTAGGTGAAATGACCTAAAAAAAAAGATTAATTATATGTCAAGCATTCTCAACTTCACCACATCATCAATGTGTATCACAATGTACTGGTACATTGATAATGGCCATTCCCCCAAACACTCTCTTTCCTTCTCTCTTTCCTTCTCTTGCTCTCTCTCTCTCTCCCTCTCCACTGTAATAATAGTGTTTTTTTGTCTTTTCCCTGTTGAAGAGATTTTCCATCACTGATTGGCTGGAGTTGAGCTGTACATGTTTTATCCTAATTCTTATTCTTCCTCTCTTTCTTTCTCCCTTCCTTTCTCTCCCGCTCTTATTTCTCTTACCTTGATGTCATTACACCTGATGTCAATTTACATCAGTCGTTCTTAGGCCTCATTCACACTGCCGCGCGTATTGTACTATATACAGCATATGTAAATAAATGGCTCCATACACATAGCTGCGTATGGAGCCGTATATTTGCACAGCGCAAAAATGCGCAAAAACAGAATGGAACAGAGATGCGTCCGGGCAGCGTATTTCTGCGCATACACTCGCATGTACGCGTGTTTGAGCGCATGTACGCACGTATGCCCGTGCAGTTCATTAACTTTGCTATTACGAATGATGCATTGTGGGATTGCAAATAATGCACGCATATACGCACATACGCTGGCATATACACAATATACAATTTTGCTCTTGCGTTGTGTGTGAATGAGGCCTAAGTCTTCTGCTAATGATCAAAATACATACAATTGTCACAACTGTGTGCACTACTTTCCCAATTCTTTGCTTACATAGACATTTTCATGGACTTTTTTTATGTTTTCATGCAACAAATTTTAATGCTTTGTCTTCCTCTTTTAGACTGTGTATGACACCGTGTTCATGACCCTCTACAACTTGCTGTACTCCAGTCTTCCTGTTATCATTGTTGGCCTGCAGGACCAGGTATGATGTATAGTTCACTCATTCTGCCATGTAGCCTGCAGGACAGTAGAGGACAGTTTGGCCGCAATAGATAACGTTTGTCCCGTAAAATGAAACACACCTAAAAAGCAGGTAAACATCTGTTCACGAGATGTTCATGACCAGACTAACAGCTGGTGCAACAATCTTATGTCAATGGCAGCCATAGATAGGGCCCGCTGACTGCTGCTTGTGGGGAAAGATCAGTCGGACAGGTTGGAAAAGCTTGTCCATGCACTACTGTTTATTCTTGTTGTACCGTTTCCCCAAAAATAAGACCTAGTACTATTTTTGGGAATTGCTAAAATATAAGACCTACCCTGAAAATAAGACCTAGTTGTGACCATTCCCAGGGCCGGTGGTGGCATAAGGGGGAACTTGAAGAGCCGCTGGAGAGGCAGGAGAGAATCAGCGGTGCCAACTAAGTCAGCTCTAGAGGAAGCGAGGCGGCACCAGAGGGAGCAGAGCCGCATAGGCCGATGCTTCCTCTATAGCGCCGGCCTGTCACAGGTGGAGTGATACCAAATGCACTTCGCCTGTGAGGAATCGATAGTGAAAGCGCGCTTCGCTCATTCTGGCCAGCGATTTGGTTAGCAAATTGCTCTTGGAAAGGTACGGCACCCCTGATTGCCCTGATCACCATATTTTTGTACATGTACATGTAGAATACATGTAGACTTTTCTACATGAATAAGTGTGGATTGTTGTACATTAAAAAAAAAATAAGACCTACCCCGAAAATAAGACCTAGTTTTTTTGAGCCCCAAAAAATATAAGACAGTGTCTTATTTTCGGGGAAACACGGTATTAGTGATTTATCTCTTGCTGAGACCTCTATGCCTGGCCAGTATAAGCAGATATAATCACTGCGGACAATCCTTATCAGATAGCTGAACTTGCAAATACCTCGTTCATCCACGAAGGTGCTTTATTGCATGCAGCAGATTAGTTACAGCAGACAACAGGATACAGCAGATGAATGAACAGACGGTATTTGAAGGCCGGAGATAGTAATGTTTCTAAACATGCAATGCAGATTAACATGTGGTCATGTTACTGTCAGCCATGACACTCGACACTGAACAAGAAAGGGGAAATACATCACAGATGGGAGGGAACACAGAAAATGCAATAAACCAGAATGACCACATAATGTCAGTATATGAATTTGCCATACAATATCAATAAGCCAATGGCTTAAGGAAAATGAACTCTATAAATTCTCATCTGACATTAATGTGAATATTGACTATGATTATGAATTGTCATGTTTCATACAGCTATGGTGGCAGCACACTGTTCTTTGTTGGTTAAGCCATGACATTACTCTCTGTCCATAGGGGCATCTGGGTGCTCTAAGCATGGATGTTTGTATGAAAACTGGGATCCACCTGGTGCTTTTACACTGTTACATCTATATTGCCACTGCTAGGGAAAAAGGTCAGTCAGGCAGGTTGGTGAAGCTTGTCCATGCACTACTGTTCTTCGTTGGTTAAGCCATGACACTACTGTGTCTCCCTAGGGGCATTTGGGTGCCCTAAGCATGGAAGTTACTTTTGTCCTATTACGTCTATATTATGTCTATGGACACATTTTGCAGAAATATTTTAGATGCCAACTTGCATTTTCCAATAGGAACCAGAAAACCGACAGCTTAATTCTGGTTGTTTCCTCTCCACAAAAGAGAAATTTTAATCAAGCATAAATTTCCTGTATTTGTCACGTTTCCTCACTGTGCTAATAAAAACTTACCCCAAAATAATTTTGAATCATTAAAACCAACCTGTGCATTGGTCATTCAGGACTTCCCAGTCCTCCATTTAGTGGTGGGAGACAAAGGAAATATCTTAGAACATGGGATCGCCTCTTAGTAGAATAAAGACCGATATCCTCCCCTCTTCTCCTCCACACACCACAGCACCCATTTTAAACAGTACAGCTCTGGTCATATGATCAGAAGTAACTCCTGCTTCTTGTTCGCCTGTGTGTCATTTTCAGCTTCAGCTCCTGAGCTCTGTATACAAAAAGCTTTTTTTCAGAAAAGCAGATGAGGATAGACAGTTAAACGTGTCAATCAGAGCCTGGAGCTCCCTCTGCTGGCTAGATAAGAGAATACAAAATATTAATTTGTTATGCGACCTAACTAGAGAAAAATATCATTTTTTTTATTTCATGTTTTAGTCCTCGCTATAATAAAAAAGAAAATACAAGCAAAGCTATATATTCCCTTTAACATGTCAGCAATCTAGACTTGCGTGTATCACCAAATGTTTAATGTATATATTATTGTATCTTCTCTTTGTACATAAGGATGTCAGTGACAAGGTGAGCATGCAGTGTCCGAGCCTGTATCTTCCAGGACAGAAAGGTCAACTGTTCAACTACTGGAAGTTTTTACTAAGTCTGCTCCATGGCACGTTGACCTCTGTTGTCGTCTTCTTCATCCCATATGGAGCCTTCTGGCAAATGGTAAAAGAGGACGGAGAAGTAAACTCGGACTATCAGACATTTGCCTTCACCACTGCCACCTGTCTTATTGTCATTGTTAATTTCCAGGTATGTTTATTTTAATATGGAGCGGGGGCCATTTATGTCATAAGTGGGCCCAAGACAAGCTGTTCTTACCTTGGTGAGATTGGTGTGCTGCAGCACTACTTACTGTGCATGGCACCCCAAATCACCTTCAAAACGCAGTACACCTGTGTTGCAGTACACCGCGATGTGTCGTAATGCATTACTGTGCCTTGCATTGTGCTGTACTAGCAACAATGCAGCAGGTCCACTTTTTGGTCCGTTGTGGTGTATTAGGCAGCACACACAAAATTGAACAGGTTGCTTCAACACGGTGCACAATAATACATGTTGTGACATCCCTTAGAATGCATGCGTCGCAATGGACCACCCTGAACATCTCTCTGGACACCTCAAATATATACCATAAGCTCCCAAGACCGGGTTGGCTCATTTTTGAACCGTGTTGTATATAATTCTTCTCCAATGCTTTCCAATATAATTTTTCTGTAAGGGTCCATTCAGACTTTGCCATCCCTGTGTGTTGCGTTAATGCATGTGTGTTAATGTGTGTTTATTACGCGTATGAATGCATTGTGTTAAAGTGACACTAAACTCAGGAGTTACATCTTAAAAATACATTCAAGTACCCTAACTAACAACATAAATGTATCTTATTTGTGTATCACTCGGCTGTAAATCCTCCAATCATCTCTGAATTGGTGCTGACACTGTCCTTCCTTCTGGAGGGTGGCTACTTTTGTTCCCCATGGTCCCTGTGTGTGCTGCAATGTAGTCACCGCTCCAAGCTCACTCCCGTGATGGACTACAATCTCAATACAAATTAGTAAACTAAACATGAGATTGTTCTAGAATCACATGTCCAGAACTTTTAGGCACACGGATGCTTCATGCAGAATGGCAGATTGAGTCTATAAATCCAATACTCATGAAGACTTGGCAGCAATATGCTCCTCATCTCCATCTAGTGGCCATAATGCAGTATGATATTACATTCGACCTGAAAAGTATTTTTTTCCTATGCTCTTCAGCTCCATCTAGTGAACAGAATGCAGTATTACATCAAATTACATTCAGCCTAAAAAGAAAATATACTAAGAATGCTCCTTTTTGCCTTTATTCGCACAGAACAAACGTTCACAGAGATCCGCAGGACAATTGTCTCTGATGATTGTTTATAAATAGACCCCTATATAACAATGTGCAGCTGTAAGCAGCTTCGTCCACTGAACTATGGCACCTACTAATGTTTGACTTATATTTTCATCTGCAGATTGGGATAATTATGGCATTCTGGAGCTTTTTATTTGCCTTTTCCGTGTTTGGAACCATCATAATATACTTTGCAATTACATATGACTTACACAGCAGTGGAATGCACACCCTTTTTACCTCCTTACTAACTATGACAGGTAAGTTTAATCACCGACTAGTAATCTTGATAGCTCACATAGTTGTCCTGGATGCAGTGACATAGTAACCCATGTCTGTATGAGGAAGAGTTAGGTCTCGTTCACACCTAGGCGTATTGCATATGCGCGTCTGTCGCGCGTTTTTTTACCGTGATACGCGGTAAAAAGTCGCGCGACCATTGCGCGTTTCCGAAGGCTTCTTGGCTGTATCCCAATGGAAACGCGCAACAAAACGGCCCAAAGTAGTACATGTACCTTTTCAAGCGTGGGCCATTTTGTAGCGCGTTGGGAACGGCCAGAAATACGCCAAGGTGGGAACGAGACCATTGAATACAATGGGATTTATATTTTTGAGCGTTTTGTAGAGCGTTCGTCGAGCGTAGAACGCGCTACAAAACGTTCAGGTGTGAACGAGGGCTTACTCCTAGTTTCATTATCTTTATAATCAACCAGGAAGATTTGGTAGCCGGGTTCCATACGTGTTTTTACTTCCTTTGCATCTTGCATGTGGAACTATTCCTAAATGTCTGCAATTTTCTGACTTATGTTGAGAAGACAGCTTCCATCTTCTTCCCTCTCTATGTGACTACTCAGATATTGACTGATGTTCCCCTGCTCTTTCATTTCAAAGTTTTGTTTTAGTTTGTGATCTATTTGACTGTAGTCCCCTTCTTGTTTAAAACATGTTATAATGTCATCAATGTAAATTAGGATCTGTCTTCCTGATTCCTGGATTAAAGACAGGGATCCACTTTGCTTCTTGTGAATCTCTCTTTCATGAGTATTTAATTCCCTTTCTCATTCCACATTCTTGCAGATTGCTTGAGTCAATAGATACTTTTGTGGAGTTTACACGCCAGGTTTTATTTTCTTGGTGTGATTTTACAGCAGAATACAGCATTGTACAAGAAACATATATATCATAGATAAGTATACATAAGCATAGAGACTAACCTTGCACTACAGCGCCATCTAGTGCTCAAAATACATTGTTACAGTACATGATGGTGTATTTCCAACAGTGCCACCACTGCACCCTAAACGTACATAAGATGATGCAGAGAATGGCAGTAACATCATCATTATCTCAGTTCCACTCTCTGCATCATTTAGGATCATCTACTTCTGGAGGAGTTTTGAAGAGTAAGAAGGCCCTGCAGATCCCGGAAATGGCCTGATCTGGAAGAATAATGAAAGCATAAAATACTGCCAGGAGGACTTACAATTGGGAAGGACCGACCACTAGGGGAGCTGAACCAGTAGTTGGAGCAGATAATAGCATGCATCCCACCACACTCCAAACCGGAATCCCAATATAATCAAATGGGCGCTGGCATGACCAGCGTATGGCGCCATGAAAATCCAAATATGCAAGTAGTCATCCACACACCAGGTCCAACGTGTCAAAATGCCTTTGTTTAAACGCTAAGAATTCATGGTGGCACTAGTGGGCAGCTGTACACTAGTGCCACTATGAATTCTTAGTGTCTACATAAAGGCATTTTGACACGTTGGACCTGGTGTGCGGGTGACTACTTGCATATTTGGAGTTGGAGAACATCACACTAACAGCCCAACCGGCATCCCTAAAATATTGTGACATCCACAGGAAGAGCAAACTTATCCCTACTCTTCCCACATTGCCATGCTAGGTGCCCGAATAATCTAAAACAGGTTGGTAGTGATTGTACTGGTGGCTTGAATTAGAGGAAAGCAAAGCAGAGCTTGGTGACACCAAGACATCTGCAGAGCCTCTTATCTGGACAACCTCCAGGTCTGCATATCATGTACAGTACTGGGGTGATGGTGGGAAGATGATGCATTTAGGGAACTTGGAGTTCGGTTGGGGGGTCATTGTTCAGAATGCAGGAATGAGACTCTATGAATAACTGGTAACACACAACAAAGATAGAACAGTTATATAGAATAGAGATATTGACAGAACAAGGTCCACTATATCGTAGGGTTAGGCACTGACCATTGAAACTACATACTTGAAAGATTTTGAAATAGGAGTAAACTCAAATTGTTTGGTCTCATTCATAGCACTGTGTTTTCTCTTCTTGTATTCCATACCAGGGGTGATCACAAATGCTTTAAGACAACCCTATATATGGTTAATCATAATTTTAACTGCTGGCATATGTCTACTTCCGGACTTGGCTGCGAGATTTTTGTGGAAGCTGGTCTGGCCTTCTGCAAGTGACAAGGTATGTAACCCCAAATAATACTAAATACTGTATGTCAACAGTTCTAAACAAAAGGTCCAAAGTTTAGGCATTAGATGGTCTGAATCACGTACCTGGCTGGAGACTGATGGATGAGGAGGCTTCCTTTGCACCTCATGTCCTTCAAACTCTGAGGATGGGAACAGAGCCTGAGAAACAGCAGGTAGCCTGGGTGCCAGTGGATGGGGCAACACTGTGTCAGGCGGAAGTCCTGAATCAGGATCGGGTAGAGCAGAGCCGAGGTCACACCGGGCGGACAGCAGGGTACCAGAGCAGCAGGCATAATCGAGGTCAGACAAGCCAGGGGTCACACCAGTCGGGCAGCGAAGTACAAGGGATAAGAGAGAGGCAAAGTCCAGTAACAAATCCCAGGTCAGAAGGCAGGCGGCAATCAGGAGCAGTCAGGTACAATTCGGGTCAAAACACTGGAGCAGTAATCAATCAGAACAACAGGATCACAGGCACAAGCTAAAAGACCATCCAGGAACTAAGCACAGGCCATGCTTGCTTTACATAGGCTGATCCATTAGAGATATTGCATCACTTTCTGTGCCCCAGAGGTAAGCGAGCCTTTGCACGTACGACCTATTGCGTGCACTAGCGCACATTTTCCTGTTGTACGGAAAACTGGACCACACACATGCGCAGTAGACCTAGTGACCTTACAGTCTGTCCTAATCTGTCTAGTTAATGTAGACCTAGTGTCAAAGGAAAACTAATACATATATGATGCTCTCTGTCAATAGTTATGTCATTTATTTCTGACTTGATGTAAATATTTTTCTCCTGTGAAGGTTATTAAAAATCCGGAGAAATACAAAGTGAAAGAACCCATGCCGAAGGAAGCCACCGGTACAATGCAACGCGGCACCTCCATTCGCCGTTCCGCGTATGCCTTCTCCCACCAGAAAGGGTACGGCGATCTCATCTCCACCGGGCGCAGCATAAGAAGAAGAAAAAATGTTAATGTAGTTCATGTAGAAAATGGCGAAGAAATGAGCGCGTCATCTGGACAAAGCTAATGTGAAGGCAATCCGTGGACGGAGCAAAGCGCTAAGTGCAAAGTGCGATAGTATGGGCAACCTACAGAGGGGTTCACACGCTGCGTCTTCTAAAGAGTGCAGGGAGCAAAGGGTTAAGTGTATGCAGTGGGGAAGCCAGACATTCTATCATGTTTTTATTGAAGTCTATGCCCATGCAGGGCAGGTTCACCATCTCTATTTGTACCGTGACCAGGACAGAAAGTGATCACAATTCCAAACTTTTAAAGTTGTCACAGGAACAGGAAGTAAGGGGAAATCTTTGAATGTGGACATTCATTCCAGTGACCTCTGAATGGGGGTTTGTGCTCACTTTGGAGAGTTTCCCTTTCTTCCTCTTGTGTATCTAGGACAGGCAATGAAGACAGATCTCCCCAATGAGACACAGGCAGTGGTCTTGACTTTTCCTTGCTCTATACAAAAGTTAAAAAACCAAAAGTTTTGGTTTCATTTACACTTGAATTAATTATCCCATAGCAACCAATCAGAATTCACTTCTTGACGGATTATACACTGTCAGTTCAAAAAAGTCCTCCATCTGGATTTAGCTAAGCAGATAGGTCAGAGCCTTCCGTTGGATAATAAGTCCAGGTTCAGCACCGTTATGTGCCCACAAAATGAGGTCAGCTGTCTACCTGAATATACTGAATGATCAGGTTCTTCCATCAATGGAGTTTCTCTTCCCTGATGGCACATTGGGCATATTCCAAGATGACAATGCCAGGATTCATCGGGCTCAGATTGTGAAAGAGTGGTTCAGGGAGCACGAGACATCATTGTCACACATGGATTGGCCACCACATAGCCCAGACCTTAACCCCATTGAGAATCTTTGGGATGTGCTGGAGAAGACTTTACGGCGCAGTAGTCTGACTCTCCCATCATCACTACAAGATCTTGGTGAAAAATTAATGCAACTCTGGATGGACATAAATATTGTGACATTGCATACGCTTATCGGAACAATGCCACAGGGAATGCGTTCCGTAATCAAAGCTAAAGGCGGTCCAACGAAATATTAGAGTGTGTGACTTATTTTTGGCCCAGCAGTGTAATTTGTTACTGTGGATATTGCACTTTGCGCTTTGTTCCTTGTATTTTGGAGGTATTTTCATTCTAACCTGTACGTATGTTCACATTAAATACCTAATGGGTTTATGGGGGATTTGAAAAAAAAAAATCTCCTGATCCAGACTTGGGAGTCTATTTATTTAAAAAAATGCATATCTATGTGTCCAGCAAAACTGTATGTACATTCGATCTGTGCAAATAACCAGCTGTTGTGACAATGGGGCAAAATCAAATGTTCTTATGCTTTTGTTGTAGGCTATTTTCACTTCCGGTTGAATGTTCTTTAAATAGTATGGGCCGTAGTGAAATACCACATTTTGTACACTAGATGGAGATAAGGATCATAGGAAATAAATACATCGTAGGTCCCTGTCATACAGTCTGATCAGGAAGGAATTCATGCACAGATCCTCTCCTGATCACAGCAGTATGGAGTGGATGCCAGCGCTGTGACATCTGTGTCCGTCCAATCTTGTGATGGAGGAGAAAACTGAAATGACTGGACCCCATGTCTGTCTACGGGGGAATTGTATGTAAGTGTCCATTTATATCAGATTACCCCTGATCTGGCACAATAAGGTCCATCGAGATAAAACACTGTTCATTTTGTTTTTCTGGACCCAGCTAGAGTAGGGGATAACCCGGTGTAAAAGGACACCCATCTATTTACACCCGGCTGCCGAGTGCGTCTGTCTGAAAAACAGGCGGATTATTTATTTATTACAGATATTTATATAGTGTCGACTATTTAGATCAGTCCCTGCCCTCAAGGAGCTTACAACCTAAGGTCACTATCTCACATGCATACATATGAGGGCCAATTTAAACCAGTGCGGTACCTTCCATGCTGGGTGAGATATTCCTCAACCCGCCCCGCCTGCTGAAGACCCACCCCCATCCTGATGAAGGCTCCCCCCCACGCCGAGCTAGTGTAAAGGAGGGAGGGAGGAGGATGGAAGGAGAGAGGGAGGAGCCTCGCTGTCCCTCACTTGCTCGTCACTGGTGAGGCATCAAGATCGATGTCATCAGTGATTTTTTTTTTACTCTTTTTTTAAATGGACAGCTTGGACCAATGGAGCTTTGCCTCCGTCCATGACAGGTTACATGACAGCGCTCCGTCCATGACAAGTTACACAGTTTTCCCTGCTTTGTAACCTGTTCCAAGCCTTTCTGAATGGAGAAAAAGCTGTCAGCTTCAGACTTGACACTGACAGCTTTTTCCACCACAGGGCTAGGTAGGCTCTGCCTCACCTGCCCACACATCCCTGGTAGATAGTGACCTGGCTGGGATTTGAACTGCAAGGCAGAAGCACTAACCTCTACACCACTGTGCTGCCCCCAATTGAGTGGCCCATGTTAGTAACAAAAGGGTGGGAATCCCATAGTAGCAATGGCTACATTCATTTGGAAATTCCCTCCAGTGTTCTCTAGAATTGTTACATTGTATCTTTTGTCACTAAGGAAGTATTTATGTCCTAGGATCCTCAGCGCCATCTAGTGGCCACAATGAGGTATTTCCCCAGTTCACTACTGCCCATAATATTTCAAGAACATTCGACCAGAGGAGAATATAGCCTTAAGAACAATCGATTTTGCCCCATTCTCCTCCTTAGCAGATTGCTAAAGTGCACAGAAGGAATTTAGATGCAGTTCTGCTGGAGGAATTGCTATGCAGACTTCTTTATAAATGGACCCCTTGGTGTTTGAAGTGACCATAGACAAGAATGAATTTTCCCAAACGTGATCCTTTTATGTTTTGATCCTGCACCAAACGTTGTGCAACAGAAATGTTGACTGACAGGTCATAGGTATGTTTACATTGTCCATTATGGTAAAGCACATGTCTTGTTCTCTATAGACTCCGGTGATCACAATGTTTGTACATTTATTTATTTAATGCTCTTCAGGTGATGTTTTACAGAATGAAGGATATGTGTGGAAACCCTAACAACAAATTTCTCTTATTTACCTCTTTTGGTCTGTTAAATATGCCAATAAAGGGTTTTGTTATATCTGTTCAATAAGTTAAAAAAAAAAACTGATGATCGCGCCAGAAATCTTGTGCGCTGATAACTTCCTGTTCTCTCTGGTTGTGCTGATTATTATACATTAACATTGCTCCTAGTCAGTGGCATAACAATCCCGGCTGCTATGGGGCCCAGGGGACAGGGGGACCCGGCCAGGACATCCCGCTGATGCTGTGTGGGCCGCCCAGGTCGCTGTGGCATCTCAGGCTGCTGGCTGTCACTGGCGGCTGTGAGGAGGAATGTGTCGCTGTTAGATCATTGACAACCAATGCAGCGGAGCGTTCCTCCTCACAGCCGCTGCTGAGTCCGTGACAGCCAGCAGCGGAGGGGGAGGCGGGGCCTGGCGACAGAGGAGGAGGCACGGCCCGGTGACGGGAGAGGAGGCAGGTAAGAGGTGTGCCGGGGAGTGAGCAGCCCACCTAAGACCCTGCAGAGCCCACCAATGAAAGTATATGGTGGGCTCTGCAGGGTCACCCTCAGGTGGGCTGTTTGGGAGATCAGGTGGACTCTGCAAGGGGCATAACTAGAAATCACAGGGCCCCATATTTGATTTTGCTATGGGGCCCTGTGATTTCTAGTTATGCCCCTCCTCCTTGTCCTTGCTGTGCAATACAGAACACCGTCCCCCCATCTTATAGAAAGGAGGAGAGGGGGAGTTGTTCTTGGGGAGTTGTTCTGCTTGTACAGTATTCTCAGTTAGAATTGTTTTCAGGTCTCTCTCAGGACTACAGAAAACCTTCTATGTTAAGGATAGGATAGGGGGATGTGTTCTGTGGCCCTGACACACTTCCTGTCCTAGGGTGACACCACTGCTCCTCCTTAGATAGAGTCTGGTGCTTGAGAGTTGTCATAATAAAGTGAAACTAGTTTCAGAGAGGAACATAGTGGGTGATTTTTTTCATAAAGGCAATTGTGTGCGGTATATGTTTACACTATTTTGTGTTATTATTTAATGTAAATTCGTTTTTAATGTGACTTTTAAATATATTTACATGCTTGCTGTATTGCTGTAATATAATTTTATTGTGTCATAACATAAACCTTTGTTTTGATTCTCCAACTAGTGGCTATCTCTATTATTGTATGACATATACAGATGTGTTGTCTCCCTCTAGTGGCCACCTGTATCAGAGCCCATTCACACCAGGTTTTTTGCGTTTCAGAGCTGAAAAGCAATTAAAAACGCCCAAAACCATGCTGATCGGCACGGTTCTATTGAAACCTGTATGGAAACCGCACTGATCAGCGCGGTCCTAACAACCAATGACTGTAGTGGTGGACCTCTACACTGAACACGGACTGATTGCCAACCTGCACTGACCTACGGCTTGCAGTGGATGAACCGTCCCTGGAGGTCAGACAGCCAAAATGGAGCACAGATCAGTGGGCCAGACAGCAGCAGACCAAGGCCCAGATAAGGCCCGCGGGCTGTAAAATACCAGGTCTGCTTTAGTGGCTATTTACACTATATTACCAAAGGTATTGGGACGCCTGCCTTTACACGCACATGAACTTTAATGGCATCCCAGTCTTAGTCCGTAGGGTTCAATATTGAGTTGGCTCCACCCTTTGCCGCTATAACAGCTTCAACTCTTCTGGAAAGGCGTCCACAAGGTTTAGGAGTGTGTCTATGGGAATGTTTGACCATTTGTGAGGTCAGGTACTGATGTTGGACGAGAAGGAGAAAAATATTTTTTCCCCCTCAAATGTCACTTTTGCTGCAAACGAACGAAACGAATAAGAAACGAATAAGAACAGAAAACGAAACGAACGTTCGTGCGAACGCTACCGAATTTCGTCCGAATCCGTATTCTGAATCCGAATTGACTTTCACACCTGAATCCCGAAAAACGAAATAACACAAATCCGAATTTAAAACGAAAC